TTAGAAATTTGCCCCGCCCCTGCAGTCATTCCTGTTCTCATTCCCTGTTTTAGTTTTCTCCTTTCCAACCCCCATCACCGAGCCTGTATGGTAGCTTACATTTCTGCTCACATTATTTATTTTCTCCCATGTCAGAGGGTTACACACACTCTCTGGGGCCATGCTTGTTTCTAGTGCAGCAAACATCCTCATTCCGGGTTTGGCAGAATGCAGTAGAATGAAAGGGAACGTGACACATACCACTTGTAAGCAGAAGCTTTACATACAACAGCGTGATGAGCTTGGTATTTTATATTTTTGCCCTCTGCCTCTATAATCAAGTGTTCCAGATAGGGGCTTCTCCAGTGTGTGTCCTGGAATGAAAGGACACACATTGAATTAGACCTACAGTCAACCCACAGCCTGGAGCCAAGCCTCAGGCAATCTGCAGCCCTCCTAATATTAGCTGCACATACATGTTATTGTAAACCACTAAGATTATGGAGTTGGTTGTTGCCCCAGCAAAAGTTTAGTAATATACATAATCTATATTGCACTTAAAAATGATCCCTTTTCCGCTTGAAAGCATATGCCATGAAAGCAAGAATTTTTGTGTTTCATTCACTACTCTCTCCCTAGTATCTAAAAGCTCCTGGCACATGGTAAGACTTTATGAATATATATGGTGTGAACTAATAAATGCTGGAAAATTCTTAGCCTTTTTTCCTTTAAATATTGCCTCTTCCCATTTTCCCTAGTTTATTTTCCTGGAACTCATATTAAATGTATGTTGGACATTCTCATTTCATCTTTCACATCTCTTAACAGCTCTTTGATTTTCCATTTCTTTACAACTGCATGGGTAATTACCTCAGAACTTCTTCCAGCTCTTCAATACTCTTTATCTGTGATTCACCTGCTGCTTAATTTATTCTTTGACATTTTAGTTTAATCACTATTTTTATTTCTTTAAGTTCTACTTTATTCTTTCTCCAAATGTATCTATTCTGTTTTTGTAATGTCTTTTTCTTTTGATATGGTATAGAACATTTTTTTCTTTTGATATGGTATAAAAGTATAAAACTTTTTTGAATCATTTTGGTAATTTAAAACATGGCTGAGCTGGAGCCCCAGGAGAGAGTGTTACTTACTCAGTCGTGTCCGACTCTTAGCGACCCCATGGCCTGTAACCCTCCAGGCTCCTCTGTCCATGGAATTCTCCAGGCAAGAATACTGGAGTGAGTATCTGTTCCCTTCACCAGGGGATCTTCCCGACCCAGGGATTGAACCCGGGTCTCCTGCATTGCAGGCAGATTCTTTACCATCTGAGCCACCAGGGAAGCCCAGAATTGAAAACATATTTACTTTATATTCTTCAGTTGAAGGACTTCTATAATCTGAAGTTTTAAAGGGTGGTAAATAGCCACCTTTTTTGAGCTTGTGATTTTGCTCGTGAAAGATTATTTCCTCTTGTGGTTTGTAATATTTTTGGAAGCTCATATCCAGTGAGCATTTAAAAAAATTCTTGTGAGATCCACATATGTTCTTTTAAAAAAAATTCACTGACTTGGTTTTTCCTTTATCAAGAAAATAGTACTAATTTGTACTCTGTACCTGCAGATGACATAGACTAGCGTTTCACCTTCTTTCAGGAGATTCCCCCCCCACCCCTGCCCCGAAATCTTGTCAGATGCTTTTTCTTCCCTCAGGTACTGGGTGGAATTTTTTAGCTCTCTCTTCAGAGGGGCAGCCTTTAAAGGGCCCATCCCTCGTATGCTGAGTATGAATTCCTCCTTTACTCTTAGGTCTGCATCTTTAAGATCCTTTGAAGACCCCACCCTTTACCCCTCCCCATTCCCAGCTATGAGGAGTCAGCTTTCAAGCTTCCTGTTCCTATCTTTAATTTTTATGCTTTCCAGAAAATACATAGAAAGTCTTTCCTGCTGTGAGATCCCTTAAAATATCCATCTGTTTTTTTTTTTTTTACTTCATTTACTTTACATAAAAACTTTCACTGGCATGAAATTTATTCTAATGTATGGTATAAGGTATATGGTATCTAACTTTACTTCTCTCTTCAAATGGTTAACCTATTGCCTAAACATAACTTATTGAATAATTGGTTCTTACTTTGTTTTTACCTTTATTTTTTAAATTCTTATGTGAGCTTCAGGGCTTTCTGCTTCACTTTAATGATTTGCCTGTCATTCCTTGTGCTACTATCATATTCTTTCAAGTAGTGTATCTTTCCAATACATTTTCATATTGGGTAATTCAAACTAATTTGTAGCCCTATTTTTTCTTGTCTACTAATAGATGTTTATTGTTTTCAATGAATGGGAGAACTGTTTATTCAGCCACAAGATATATATTTGAGATTTGATTGGAATGAATCATATTTATAAATTAATGATAAAGTCATCCTAATGATATTGAGCCATCTCATGAAGTAACTGTTCATCTTTTTCATTCAGTAATTTTTTTCTTATATGTAATTCAATAAAGATTTCAGTTATTCCTCACAGAACATTTCTCATAAAATTTATTATGAGTTTTTTTTGTTTTTCTTTTAAATGACTTAAATTTTAAAAATTGTGGTAAAATATACATAACATAAAATTTACCATCTTAACCATTTCTAAGTGTACAACAGTTCAGTAACCTTAAGTGCATTCACAGTGTTGTAAAACCAATATCCAGAATTGTTTTCACCTTGCAGAATGGGTGCTCTTTATACATTAAAACAAAATCTCTCCTCTCTCCCATCCCCTAACCAACTGTTCCACTTTCTATCTCTGACTTTCTGTACTCCAGAAACCTCATATAGGTGGAATCATATGGTATTTGTATTTTTGACTGATTTATTTCACTAAGCATAGTGTCGTCAAGTTTCATCCATGTGGTAGCATAGCTCAGAGTTTCCTTTTATTTTAGGGTTGAATAATTTAGGGCTGAATATTTTAGGGCTGCAGTCCATGAGGTTGCAAAGAGTTATATTCATTTGACTAGTAAATTTAGCAAAAATATATGTTGACTTATCAGTGCATGCTGAATTTTCTTTCCTTTCTCCCCTCCTTCCTCCCTCTCTCCCCTGCCTTCCTTCCTTCTTTCTTTCCTTCTCTTTTGATGTTTTTCATGTGATTCATCTTATTGGCCCAACTGATATTTGGAAGCATATTAATGGTTGCTACTATCGGAGGTATGGGTTAGTGATACTTTATAGAGATGCTGTCTCATTTCCCACTACTTGGATCCGCGACCCTCTGAATTGATGCTGAATACAGCTGCTCTGTTCATAAAGATTCAGCCACCTTCTTTCTTCTTACCTCTGCCCCTACCTACAGGGCCTTGTTTGCTGGAACTTGCCCTTCTAAGATATAATGTGTTACCACCTTTCTCCATATTTCCTTTCCAGATGTTTTCTGGGTGTTGCTATATCTGAATGATTGTAAAACAGATGTTAGGTGAGAGTGTGTGACAGGAGAAGGGTACTCTGCCAAGACTAAAGGCAGCATTCCCTGATAGAGGGCCAGCCCCCAGTTTTCTGGGTCTTACAGCTTCTGGGTCTCTGAGTCAGCAGGCAGTGGTGAGGGGGAATAACATATCTTCACCCTCCCTCTCTCTTTCCCTCTCTTCTTTCCAAATAATCACCCTTTTATTAGGCAAACAGTGATATTCATGATGCAATAATTGGGCAGGTTATACTCAATAAGACTCATTTCTTCATAGGTCCTGAGGAGTCCTTCTAATTTTGATATTATTTTGTCTGGCAGATTTTCTTTCCATTTGGTTGTGAATTTTTATCACTGACCACCACCCCCAAGAAGAGACTGGGAAACAAAGGTCCATCCTCAGATAGTACTTTAAACCAGAAATCTAGTATCATTTTATCTCCTTCGTGGATTTTAATCAGGAGAATAATGTGTAGATTTGGATTAAAAGGGAGACAAGAGAGGAAGCCCAGAGACTCATAAGGAAGTTATACTGGCATATTAAACTCTTGGAGGACACTTTAGTGCAGCATGAATTAAAGTACCAATCTGAATGTATTCAATAATTGGATATAACCAACTTACATAATAAAAAGATCCCTAGGTCTGATATCAACAGATCTGAGCTTTAGTCCTAGTTGTAACTAACCCCAACTACCCATGCAAACTTGAAAGCGAAAGTCGCTCAGTTGTGTCTGACTCTTTGCGACCCCAAGAACTGTATAGTCCATGGAATTCTCCAGGCCAGAATACCGGAGTGGGTAGCTGTTCCCTTCTCCAGGGGATCTTCCCAACTCAGGGGTCGAACCCAGGTCTCCAGCATTGCAAGTGGATTCTTTACCAGCTGAACCAGATGGGAAGCCCGTGCAAACTTGAAGAACTCTCTTAAATTTCAATTTCCTTGTGTGACAATTTCCTTACTTCTGATCAAAGTAAGATTCTTGGCACTCTCCCAGCATTCTAGGTTTTGCTATTCCATAGTAAAAAATGAATGGGAGTGGATTCTTAGTGCAATCCGAGACTGCTGGAAGCAGATGGGACTTGTGATGGCCTGGGAAGAAGGTCTAGTTAGGACAGGGAGGGCTGCAAGTCCCTGAGGGATTCTTATAGGGTCTCAGTTCAGCTCAGTTCAGTCGCTCAGTCGTGTCCGACTCTTTGCAACCCCATGGACTGCAGCTCGCCAGGCCTCCCTGTCCATCACCAACTCCCAGAGTTTACCCAATCCCTGTCCATCACCAACTCTGGGAGTTTACTCAAACTCATGTCCATTGAGTCAGTGATGCCATCCAACCATCTCATCCTCTGTCGTCCCCTTTTCCTGCCTTCAATCTTTCCCAGCATCAGGGTCTTTTCCAGTGAGTCAGTTCTTCGCATCAGGTGGCCAAGGTATTGGAGTTTCAGTTTCAACATCAATCCTTCCAATGAACATTCAGGACTGACTTCCTTTAGGATGGACTGGTTGGATCTCCTTGCAGTCCAAGGGACTCTCAAGAGTCTTCTCCAACACCTCAGGAATGGGTCTTACTAATTAGTAAAATCACTCAAACTGTAAGAATGCTTCCAGTGGACCCCTAGACCCTGGATGACCCAGCGTATCTCTATACCTTATCTTTTGCCACATTCCCTTCCTCACTCTGTTCCAGCCACAGCAGGCTCTCTGTTCTTTCTTAAACACACCAGGCACTTCTGCCTCAGGACCCTTGCACTTGGTATTTACTCTGTTCTTTTACTCTTCTCCCTAGAATGCCTTATAGGTCATTCATTTCCTTTAAGCTTCTACTCAGATGTCACCTTTTCAGTTATATCTTCCTTGACTGCCATAGATAAACATAGCACCCCGTCATTTCTTTTTTCTTCTTCTTTTGCCAACTCTGTCATTTCTTAGTCCCCTTACCCTGTCTTATCTTTCCCTGCAGCACTTTAAACACCACCTGTCATTGTATATATTTATTAGCTGTCTCCTTCTATAAAGTAGAATGTAAACTCTATAAGGATGAGGTCTTTGTTTTGCTCACTACTACATTACTTGTGTCAAGATTAATGCCTGGAACATAGTAGGTACTCAGTAAATGCTTCCTGAATGAGTAATTATAAGCTAACATCATCAGTTCCGTCATGCAGATGGTTCCTTGGGGTGAGAACCTAGGCCTTCCTCATTGCCATGCCTTACCCAGCCGTCAGCATCTGAACTTGTAGTGTGAGAGGAAAAACCCAGACAAGGAGAACCAGGCTTCAAGATCAGTAAGGAACGGGCCTCTCCCTGGACCAGGCTTCCTTCCTGCTCTGAGGTTCTGTGGCTCAGCGAGAGGCTGGGGGAGCAGGGGAGGGGGCGAGGATGGGAGAGGGGGAATAAGAATGAAGCAGAGCAGCCAGAGAGCCGAACCTCACCTGGGTGGGCTGCATAGCAGGTGACACCAGTGCCCTCAAGCTGAGTGGCAAGCTCCCTGGCGAACAACACGTTGGCCAGCTTACTGTCGGCATATGCCCGCAGCTCCTGCTGCCAGCCCACCACTGGGCGGTCCAGGCGTGTGAAGTCGAGGCGGCCTCGGCGGTGGGCGGCAGAGGAGACCACCACCACACGGCTGGGGGCGCTCGTCTTGAGCCGGGGCAGCAGCAGGTGCGTCAGCAGGAAGGGGCCGATGTGGTTCACGCGCAGAAGCAGGTTAAAGGGCTCCCGGGTCCGGCCGCAGGAACTTATCCCTGGGGCAGGGGCTAGGTGTGAGCAACTGCTCCAGAGGGATTCTCAGAAGCCTCAGCGTCCCCCAGGTGAGATGGTGGTAGGGGGCATCCTTCCCACATGTTTACCAGTCCCACAGCCAAGCCTGCCTGGAAGGGTAGGGCACCCTCCCGCCCCCCCGCAGGTCGGCTGCCCTCACCGGCATTGTGGATGAGGATGTCCAGCCGTGGCTCGGAGCTCAGGAAGGCAGTGGCAAAGGCCCTCACGGAGGCCAGACTGGCCAAATCCAAGGCCATGAAGATGACTTCATTGTTCCCACTCTCCTGTGGAGTGGCAAGAAGTGGCCTGTCATACGCACCCTTCTCTTCTTCCTTCTCCCCAGGCACCAAATTCTGAGAGTTCAGCTCCTTCTACTAAGATCTGCTCCAGGCATTAGAATGTAGTGGATAAGTGTGTGGATGCTGGATGCAAATCTTGACTTTGCTTATTATTAGAGTGATACCTTGGGCAAGATACTTAATCTTTCTGAGGCTTAGTTATCTGTAAAATGGAAATAATAACAGTACTGATAGAGTTATTGTGAGGATTAAGTGAGTTAACATATGTAAAATCTTTAGAATTCTTTAGAACACTGCCTGGCATCATGTAGTCACCACTCTGTAGGCATTTGCTTTTTTTTTTTTTCTTTTGGTACTTGCTATTATTATTAAAATATCATCATACCCTCTGCCTGTTATCGTTACCCTAAAATCTACAACGGACTACTCACTGGTCTCCTCCAACCCACTTTTACCCCCTACAAACCAGGTCTCACACAGTCACTTAGGGGTTCCTTCCCAAAGGTTATTCTGACAGTCCAGCCCCTGCTGAGGACACTTCATCGGATCTCCACTGTCCAGTCTATGAAATCTGATCTCCTCAGTAGGGTCTATAAGGGCCCTCAGAACCTGGCCCTGGCTCAGAGAGTTCAGCCCCTTCCTTTTGCCCCTTCTCCCCATACTCCGTGCTCCAGCCTCATTAAACCTCTCAATCAGTTTCTCAAATCAGACCATTTATCTTGCCTCAGGGCTTCTGCATATGCTGTTCCCTCTGCTGTTCTCTTTCCGACTTTCATTAGAGTAACTTCCACTGATTCTTAAATGTCTTAGAACAGCAATTACTTCCTTCAGATCTGGTGTCCCTTCGCTGTGTGGCCAGAGCACCTGTGCACCCTCTTCTCCATTTGGAGAACTGGGCTGCATTATCCTTTAAGGGACTGGATACTCTCGGCCCCACGTCCAGCTCTTTTCGGTCTGTTTCTTCGGTGTTTCCATCCTCTGTTCACCCTCCCGCCAGGCCCCGCCCTCCCCGCCAGGCCCCGCCCCCTCCTGGCCCCGCCCTCCCTCACCTGGCGGAGGTCGAACGCAGCCGCTTCGCCGCGCTCCCGGCTCCGGCAGGCCAGCACCACGCGCGCTCCCCGGCGCGCCAGCTCCAGTGCCGTCATCTTCCCGATGCCGCTGTTGGCGCCTGCGAAGGGTGGGCGGGAGCCGAGCTGAGGCGTCGGGCCCCAGCCCCGCTGTCCCGGCTCCCCGCCCTCTGCCCGCCAGCCAGCACTTACCCGTGACTACGGCCGTGCGGCCCCGCAGGCTGGCGAGGCCGCGGCACGGCGGGGCCTTCACCAGGTTGTAGTAGACAAGCACGTAGGCGCCCAGCAGCAGCCCCACGCCCAGCAGCAGCGCCTCCATGCCGGCCGCACCTCCGGGCTCCCGCCCAGGCCCGGAGACGCCTGGATCGCCGCCCGGGGGGCTGCGGGCTTTCCCCGCACCGGCCTGGAAGGGCGCCTGGCGCTCTTCGGTTTGGCGAAGGCGGAGGCGGAGGCGGAGGCGGGCGGGAGACAGGGCAGGGATGTGTGTGCGTGCGTGTGTGCGTGGGCCCTGGGAGCGCCCCCTAGGCGTGCGTCTGCGTCCTCGGGGTGTGCGCTGGTGTGAAAACCTAGGTGCCAATGTGCGTTTGCGCCTGGGAGCGCCCTCTAGGTATGTACACTCACCCCTAGTGAAGGTGCTAGTGACTTTTTGGTATGTGATGTGCCTATGGATCCTGGGATCATCCTTTAGGTTGTGTGCGTGCCTCTGGATCCTGTGTGTGCGCGCCCGTGTGAGCACCGTGTAGGTGTGTGTTTGTGGGCTTCGAGCCCCTCCAGAAGTGTGCATGCATCTGTAGTCTGTCAGTGTGTGCATGAATGACTGTCTTCGCCTGTACTCTGTGTTGGGCTCTGTAGCGGAAGCAGGAGGGGGCTTAGCAGACGGGTGGGCTCTCTGGGTGTCATTATGCAGCAGTCCTTCCCATCTGGAGAGGGGTGGGCGCCTGAATGCTGCTGTGTCTGACAGTGAGTCTATTCCTGGATTCTTTGCCCTCTGTGAACAAGTCCATCAGTTCCTTATCCTCTTATTTCAGCCCTCAGCTTCTAGGATCTTCTCTACCCAGGGATGGAACCCAGGTCTCCTGCGTTGCAGGCGGATTCTTTACCAGCTGAGCCAAGCCACCAGGGAAGCCCTCAGCTTCTAGGATTCTTTCATTTCTTCCCATAGAGGTCAGGGAGGTGACACAGTGCGTGTAGGGTGGCACCATCAGTTCAGGGCTGTCAGGATTCACTTATTCATTAGCTGTCTATCTCCTCACCTCCTCCTACCCCACCAGACCCCTCCTTTTTTATAGATATATTTATTTATTTGGCTGCACCGGGTCTTAACTGCAGCACGTGGGATGTGGGATCTAGTTCCCTAGCAGGGATTGGACCTGGGGCCCCTGCATTGGGAGTGCAGTCTTAGCTGCTGGCCCACTAGGAAAGTCCCCCACCCCTCCATTTCTGAAGGGAAGCAGGAAGGGAGTGTAAAATCTGTCCTCTGATCTTCAGGAGGAAATTTGTCTCTGGAATGATTCTGACAGATGGGAGAATTAGGTAAAGAGGCTTCATCACTGAATAGAAGTGATTGTGATGGCTGAGTGTGTGGGGACAGCTGGGGAGGCATGGGTAAGGGTATTATTTCTGGCCAGGTGACTTGCCAGAAATCCAGTACAATTTAGCACCTGTTGTTTGGCACTCACAGCATGCCCAGCAGTGTAGGTAGCCTTGAAAATACCCAGCAGAACAATGTTTCTGCCCTTAAGGAGTTCACAAGGCCCATCGGGGGAGGAGGAGGAGGAGAGTGGTCGAGGCAAAGTTAGAAGGGTGGGTGGAAACCAGGGTCAGACCTCAGATTCCAGGGGAGGTTTCCTGTTTAGCTGCACCATGGATTCAGTGTTCACGTGTCCATGCTGTGGGATGAGACTAGGGATGGAATATGAGTGAAATAAATGGATGTGTTCTCCACCCCCGCCAAAACAAAATCCTGACATGCAAACAGATACCACGCACTCTTAACAGCGCTGGCATGCATACACACAGCTGTGTTCTCTAAGGAGAAGGAGATGGTTTTCAGGAAAAAATTGGCAGATAAAATTTCTTAAGTATAATGTGCAAGGAGGAATAGTTTGTTTAAATAAAAGCGAGGTTGGAGGCCTGAGAATTAAGGTAATGGGTGAACTCATCTGATCAGGGATTGCAGTTGTAAAGTTGTGACTGCAAGTCGAGTTACCTGTGGCATGACTGAGTCTAGAGACTGAATTTCTTCTCTCTTCAGACATTTGAAACAACCAACTGCTCCGCACTAGATTCTAAGCTCCGAGAGGCAGGGGCCTCATCTGCCCTGGTGATTGCTCACAGCAAGTTACTGAGACCAAGATCCAAGGCCCGGCAAAGGCTCGGCACTGGAGGAACTTGAGTGATACTTGAATAATGAATTGCTCCATACCCAGCTAGGGCTGAGGGGGAAAAAAACCAGGTGTTATGACTTCTCCCAGAATAGATGGATAAAATGATAGTAAATAACTGGAAGGAAAGACAGACCCACTGCTTGGATTAAAGCTTCTAGACCAGAATGCAGAGATCTCATGCTATCTCTTATTTAAAAAAAATATTTTTGAAAAACAAAACAAAAAAAACCAAACATTTTTGGATGTGTGGGATTTCTCTAGTTGCGGTGAGTGGGGGCTGCTCTTCACTGTGGTGTGTGGGCTTCTGATTGCAGTGGCTTCTCTTGTGGCAAAGCACGGGTTCTAGGTGTGAGGGCTTAGCTGCTTTGAGGCATGTAGGATCTTCTCAGACCAGGGGTGGAACCCGAGTGCCCAGCTTTGGCAGGCAGATTCTTTACCACTGAGCCACCAGAGAAGTCCATCTCCTATTTTAATGTCTTGGTTTTGGAGCCAAGAGGAGCAGGGATCTGCACTCTTGGGATTCTTGTAGAATCTGATCACATCAAATGCTCAAGCCCTCTGAATCCCCTCAAATCACCCACAAAGCCATACAACAACCCGCCACCGCAGCTGAACCCCTCCCCTTCCATTTGGCCTTCCTACCCTAGGCACACTTTTCTCTAACACCTCCCCTCTCCTGACTTCCCTGGGGACTGAGTATCTGGGACTGAGACTTGTTCAGTGGGGTTGTGGGACCAGGGCCTCAGGAGGGTTCCCTCTTAAGGGTGATGACAGGTAGGACAGACAGGCAGAAAACATAATTTGAAGTATTTTTGTTTTTTTATATACAGAATACAGGAAAGTTTCTGTAAAGTCTAAAACATTACAATTACTATGTACATCGGAACTAGTTGTGGGGGTGGGGGGAGAGGAGGGAGCCAGGGGTGGGAGGAAGAGGAGAGAAGTGGCAAGAGAACAAAAAAAAGGAGACAAAACAGGTTTACGACAAAAACATTTTTGCTACAATAGACAATTTGAAGAAAACGCTCTACCACATGTAGTACTGTACACAGTTTTTAAAAACATTGAAAAAATGTCATCACTAGATGTATTTACACAAAATCCAAATACACTTTTCCTTATTTGAAATAAAATAAGATGGACAGCCAGAAAAAGAATTCATTTCTCATTTGTCCATAATACACAGTAGCTACCTGTAGTGCAACCGCTGCAGAAAGGGAAAATAACCTGGAGGGTGGGAACCATGGAAGGAGGGTGGGTACGATCTTTATATTAAATAAAACAATGATATTGTATAGATTTTGCTGTATGAAAACTGTATTTTTTTCTTTTAATATAAAACTATTGTCACTGCCACAAAATAGAACAAGTTTCTGATTATTTTACAACGGCGGGCGAGGGGGAGGGAGCAGGAGGTGGGTGGGGAACGGTTTTGTGTCGGAGGTGTCCAGACCATCGGCCTTCCCCTCCCTGCCCACGCTGTTCCTCAGCTCGGTCTGCCGCTTTCCCATGAAATGTTGAGTACAAATATATGTGCAAATGCCCCCTAGAACTTGAGAAAAGAAAAAGGATTTTTAAAAAACAGTCAAAAGGTTTCTTCATTTCATGCAAAGATTGTAGTCGAAGGGTTTCCGGTAGAGTATAGAAAAAAAAAACCCGGGCTTGGTTTGTGTACATTTTTGCATTGCAGGAGTCTTGGGTGGGGTGGACGGGCGGGTGACGGGATGGCCGCCAGTCCTAGGGAACGGAGTTGGAGCGCAGCACGGGGCCCTGGTGGGGCTTGAGAGAGAGCTTCTCGGCCAAGACCCCATCTTGCAGCAGGCCGGCATCGCCTTTGGGCTGTTTGGTCGCAAACTCAGTGATGCTGAAGACAAACTGCAGGCACCCCAGCTTGATGTAGCTGCCGTGGTGCAGCAAGGCCGTGCCCTCCCAGCCGGCCCCACTGCCCCCAATCAAGCTCGAGCTGCTGGCTTTGCAGTTGCAGGGTCTCCGCTGCGGCCCCTGGGCCTGGGAGCTCATCATGGCTGCCTCTTCACTTGGCTCTTCATCTTGTTTCTGGTGCCGGCGGCGCCCTGGGAGAGATGGGAAGGTCACAGGAGAGGAAGTGAGCAGCCAAGCCCCACCTGGGCCGCCAGCCAGGGTGGGGCCCCTGCACCTCCCCACTCTAAAACGCTGTGTGACTTGGGGTGAGGGGAGCTCAGAAAGGAGGGGTGGAGTCTGAGGCTCCCAAGGGAGGTGTATATACCCATGGGGGTGTGCAGCACGTGCTTCTCCGTGGCCCTTCTGGGGCCCATGAGCAAGGAGAACCTGGCCAGCAGGACGGGGAAGGCTAGTGACAACAGGTCATGGCAGCGAGCCACAGCCACCCTGACCGAGGCATCAGAGAAAGTGTCCAAAAGGGCAGGTTCCGTGGCCACAGGCCTCTGCTCCAACTTACTGATGACACTCTGCACTTTGGCAACAATACTGCTTGGGGGGGTTGGCGGGGTCTTCTCAGAGAAGTCACATGAATACAGCACATTGTCCACCGTTGTCCCGTGCTCACTGTAGTTTAACAGCTCATAATGTTTGGTATTCTGAGGAGGAGGAGGGAAGATAAGATGTGTGGTCTGCTGCGTGGGGCCTGGGGCTAAGGGGAGAGAGGACACATGGAGAAGGCTGTGCTGCTCTACCGGGGAGCCCCCTCCTTCCTTCCCCATCACGCCTCGCTGCCCTGCCCCTTCCAATAGGGCTCAAGACTCATGTCCTCAAGAAAGCTTTCTTTCCTACCCTCCCAGTACTCTGCCTCCTTCGCACAGGCTCCTGGTGAAATGACATTCACTGGCACCTGCTGCTGCTGCAACCCACAGGGACACGCCTGGAGGGCTAGGTTCCTTCTGCTGGTCCCCCCGCCCCCTAGCTTAGGGTGCCTCCTCCCTCCCTGGGCCTGCTGACCCACCTCAGGAGAAATGGCGGCCCTGCTCCCCAGGACGGATGCCCTTCACACTAAGACTCTTCTCTTCTGGGAATGCCAGGGAGGGAAGAGAAGGAGAGGACCCCACCCCCTTCCCCTCACCCAGGGCACTGAACACAACCCCAGCGCTGGGAGACGCCTCAGGCTGGCAGAGCTCTCTGCCTCCCCTCACCTCATCGTAGAATATGCAGGCATGTTTCCCGGACACGTAGTTACAGTGACCATAGTTTGTAAGGCACACGTCCATGTCAGCTCCTGCAAGGGGAGGAGGGTGGAGGAGAGGAAAGGAAACGAAGAACAGACTGTGAGGTGGATGCACGGGGGAGCTGAGCGGGGTGGGAGTTAGCTTCTGGGCGGGAGCTTCAGGGACAGGTAAGCTCAGGGCCCTCTCCTTGTACTTTTGAAGAAAAACTGCTATCTTTTCCAATCCCCTGTAAAAGAACAGATGTCCCTGCCAGCTCATGTGCTTCAGAATATGGGCTGCTGCCCAGAGGGGTGCAGGGAGCGATTTCCATGCGAGCACAACATGGGGTGCATGGTCCAGAAATCGCATCGTCTGAGAGAAAGGGGCCTTTCCAGGCTAAGGGCTTGCCTGTCCCTCTGGCAAGATGCAGGGCTAAGTACGGGTTACACATGTGTCAGCCCCATCACGTCTTCAAAGGTCTCCAGGGAGACCGCATGTGCCCTCTGCTCAGGTCTTCCCTGCGCTGCTGAAATGCTCACTGAGCAGCAGTCAGGGCTGCCTTCCGGGCTGTCTGAGCCACACGGGCCACAAGGCCTGAAGCGGGAAGATGGCAGCTGACAGTCCCTCTTCTCAGTCCCTCCTGTTCAGACATCTGCTGGGTTAAACCAGTCCACCCTGGAGGGGGCGTCCGTCCCTTTCTAGCCTCAGGGGGTCAGGGTGTCCATCTTCAGGGCTGGAGAGGGTCAATGCCCCTCCCACCGGGCTTACCTGTCCCGATGTAGAGGGTTCGATAGCACATGTTCACAGCGCCTCCCAACCCTAAGAGGGGGTAGAACACAGCTCGGGCCTGTACTTCCCTTCTCTGCACTGCAAGGCAAACACAGGGATGTGACTGTTCAGGAACAGAACCTGGGGCCCAAACACACATCAAGAGAAGCTGGACCTTTGGTCATGGAGAAAATAACCCCACAGGCTGAGTCATCTTTCCAAACTCACACCTCACACGAAGCTGCTGCAGGGTGTGGCTCTCTCCCCACTTAACAGCGTTTCCCACGTCGGGGAGTAAAAAGGACCATCTCTCAAGAGGACCATGTAATTCAAGGATGATAGTACTTGAAGCACAGGGCTGCCGGTTGGTTTATCAGGGATATACTAACTGATCTTATAAGGGAGGCTGTGCAAAAACCCCAGAAGGCACAAACCAATGTTCCTCTAATTTTGAATATGAATCACCCAGGGATCTTGTTAAAATGCGGGTTCTGATTCCGTAGGTCGGAGGTGGGGCCTGAGCTCTGCTAACAAGCTCTTAGGAGATGCGGATGCTCACGGTCTGAGGATCCTGCTTCTAAGCAGCGAGGTTTTTACTGGCTAACGCTCTAAGGGCTGCCCTAAGCAGAGTTAGCCTTTTGGAAAATCCTTCCAGCTCAAATACTGAGAAGCAAATGAGCAGAAAGCATATCCCATATACCCAAAGGCACTCCTAGCTGCTTTCTGTGTCTCACAAGGGATGAGTTACAGCAGACTCTCCCGAGTCTGATCTGAAAGTGGTGGTCACCATCTTGTTTCTGCTTTTGAGAAAAGAAACTGTGGTGTTATTATTAAGCCCAGTAAAGGCCTGCATGGAGGACTGAGATTCTCCGTGGAGGGGAGATGGCTGTTCACAGGCAGAGGGTGGACCAAGCTGGGTGGCGTGGGCATGCGCACCTTCCGTGTGGTGCCCTCCAGAAGCCAGCGGATGTGCCCCGACACTGCCCGGTGAAGCTTGGACCCGGGAGGGGAAAAGCTGATGTATTCTCTGCAAGGCCAGAAACTTGATCAGCTTCTCGTCCAGCATATTTATCTCGATTTCTATTAACCAAAGAGAAAGATTAAAAAGCAGCTGAGGAGGAAATGGAATGTGGAAGTAGGTGAGGGTCAGAGAGCCAATATTTCAGCATTCCTAAAATCCAGCCAAGTGATTTTTCTCAAATGACTCAGAGTACAAAGTGGTACCAGGGCCTGGAGCCAAGTATCTCACTGGCCCTTCTGCAATGAGAGGCTGCAGGCAGCCTGGGCAGATGCCCCCTGCAGTGGGGAAGCTTAACATTAGGTACGGTGGTTCCAGAAAGTGCAGCAAGACACAACTTGCCTACCTGGGCTGAGCGGAAGCCCTGATGTCTGGTACTGAGGCCTGGACTCTCTAACGCCCCTGCTCAGAGATCAAGGTTGGCTCCTGTTCTCCCTGACTTCAGGGGTTCCTCACAGATGAGGTCCCTCCTTTGGAAGCGAGGCTCTTCCTGGTTTTATTCAAGTTCAAGTGATCTGCCTAAAGTGACTTTCTTGTCTTCTCACTGGTTTAGCTTGGCTCTGCGCTCCCTTTGTCACTGTTATGTGTATACCGCGTGTAAGAGGCAGAACTGGGAGAAGGGACTTTCTTTCCTACAGTCCTCCCGCCTCCCCGCCCCCTGAGACCAGGCCCCCTTCTGCTCCTCTGCAATGAGCTGAACGCTGCACAGGGGCAGCAGCTCACTCACTCACCTCCATTGACATCCATGAATGCTCGAAGTGAGTTGGTGAGGTCCACCATGGCAGTAGAGTTGGCTGGGAAAGAGGGTACGGTTAAAGCGCTTCCTATGGATAACGTGCCGGGGCTGACCTTGCCATCTGGGGACGGAGCAGGAAGACTGTTACTTACGTTGCCTGAGGGAAACCCACCGGTCCAATCCCCCACTGCTGAGACAGGCCTGGATTTCGGGCCCAAGGTGATGTTCCCTTCTTGATCCTCACCCCATAGGCTCTGGAACTCCTAGAGCTAAAAACGTGTGGTGAGGAAGGGCAGGTGGAACGACAACACACCCGGGCACGCGGGAGTCCCCAGAGCACGAGAATGAGGACATCTACTGCTCAGGGGGACGTGGTGGGATAGCTTCGTCCTCTGGGCCGCGACTACCTCCCGGCCGCCTCTGCTCACTCAAGCAGGTGGTGCCTGCCCCTGCAGCTCCTGTGTCCTGAAGTGGACTCACAGGTGCCGAAGCTAGCCAGGCCGGTATTCAGAGATAAATAGGAAGAGAGCCTGAGAGTAGGGGCCATCCTGGGACCAGGGCCCCCATGCAGAGAAGTCACAGTCACCTGGTCACCGAGACTCCCAGCTGACTAGGAGGCCAGTTCAGTTCAGACAGGAGAGACCACAGGGGGTTCCAGCAGCATCTGAAACCTGGTTCAGATGCTGGGGTCAGCAACCTTGAGGTCCTGAATGCTGACAGGGCACAGGTGAAAGGGCGGGTCTACACCTCGCCCAGGACGCATTATGGGACTGCCTTGTAGAATGTGGCCCGAGCACAAGCCTTCGGGCCAGAGCGACCTCTGCGGGCACTCCACTCTGCCTACTCTGGAAGGCAGTGCCGTTTTCTGGCCCTGCTTTCCCTGACACAGCAATTTCTTCAAATGAGCTGTCTCTGAGATTCTGGAACGGGGTGGATCATCAAAGACCGAGGCCGTCACCCAGAACCTAAGACTGACCACGGCAGCTCCCGGGAGCTGGCTGCTCTCCTCTAAGGTGACGGACAAAAAGCCTGGACAGCCTGGGAGGGGAGAGTCAGGAGACCCAGGCTCCAGTTCCACTCCTGCACTGACTCGGTAGGTTACCTTAAGGAAATCACTTTCAGAGCCTAAAGGTCCTGCCTCTAAATTAGGGATAAGTTAACAGGCACTTTCTCTTCTATCATAGAAACAGGGGGAAGGACAATTAATACAGAGATCAAAGTCCTCTGGAACATTTACAGGGATACAAGTGTTGTTTGAACCTTAAGAGTTATTTGCCAGGAAGAGCATGAAAGGCTGAGCCGCACTCACCTGACGATGGCGCTGGTGAGCAGAATCGTTGGTTGGCTCCTGTGGCCAAGATACCATCACCTGCAGCTTGGGGGGGAGTGAGCACCCGGGTGGCATTTGGGGGTGAGCCCAGTGGCCTTGAATCTGTCAACGGAGGTCCTATCTGGGATTGGACAGTCTTTCTTTGCAAAGTGCTGGTGTTCTCGATGCTGGCACAAGAGCTGGGAACGGAAGGGGGTAGGCTTGGGACAAGACCCACACTCCTCTGGGGGCAAGAGCTGGGGCCAGTGGCATTCTCTGTCTTCACAATGATGCCGACGGTGTGGTTCTGAAGCCCCCCAGCCGCTGGTGGCGTGAGGGGCCGGGGCCAGCCTTGCCGGTGTGAGAGGCCTGGTAGGGGGGTGTTGGCGCCTGGAAGTCGCCGGGGGTCCGTGGAATCAGTGGGGCTGCTGTAGAGGTGTGGGCCATTGGCTTTCACCTCTGTGTTCACCGGCCCGTTGGCAGTCCCACAGGGGGCTTTCTTGGATTTTTCCGCACAAGAGCTGCAGCTGATGTCCTCTAGGGTTGGGGGTTGGTGGGGTGGAGAGCAACTCAGGGAATTCTGGGTGCTAAGCCCTGAGGGGCAGGACAAGGGGTAGTGGGAAGGTGGAGGTGCCTTGTCAGCTGTTTGCAGGGAGGTGGTGATTGAGCTGTCAGTCACAATAACAGGCTTAATATCAGCCTTCTCTGTCTGTTCAGAGTCCCAATGCGAAGGCATCTGCTTAGCAGATAAATGTTTCAATATGCTGCACTGGAGCGCAACAACACTACAGAGCCACTGCAACGGAAGGAGAGGAGAGGAGAGGAGGGTGAGAGGCCTGGGAGGCGCTGGTCCTTCCTGCCACAGCGGCCAGGGCTACCGCAGAGCCGACAAGCACTGTTTCCAAGGTCCCATCGCGAATGCCCAGAGAGGGTGTGCTTGACTCCTGAGAGGACTCCATCTCCATTCCCAAGCAAGGCTTGTCGGTACACACTCGGCAGGCAACACCCTGGTCAGCAGGGCTGGGGGTTCCCGTTCTGACTCTGCCCCTAAGGCTCACCTCGTCACCAATATCCAGCAAGGACCCAAGCTCCTGCTGTGTGTCCAGCAATGCCACCTAACTTCTCTAGGTCTACTCATCTCTTTCTGCAAGACGGACGTGCCCGTCTCGCAGCACCCTGGGGACTGGTGGAGAGAAGCAGACCAGTTGACTCTGTAGTTCTCTTACTTGCCTCAGGATCTGAGCCAGAGGGTCTCTCTGGAACGGTCAACTCAGGGGGCAGGGCGGTGGCAGCAGGGGTGGGGGCTCAGGGTGGGGGAGGGTGGGGTGGCAGAAGATGGGGATGAGAGTGACTTCCAGTGACAGCCGCAGCGAGGTGGAAGGATGATGGGGTCTGGAGTCCCGGCCCTGCCTTCACTCACCTCTTGCTGCTCTGCCTGGGTGGCTAAGTGCTCAGAGTTCACAAGGTGCGTCTGTGACTCCTCAGGGATCCCATTACAGATCAGCTCCCCGTCCCGAATGGCCGCGGGTGCAATGAGAGGGGGTGGGAACTGGTACTGAGATTTGATGGCATCGGGAACCTGTTCAGGACAGAGAGAGAGAGGAAGGAGAGGGTGGCAGAGCCAACACACCCGGTGGGCTCTGCGCTGGCCTTGCTCGTCTGTGGTGCCGATGCCTGGGGGCAGCCGTCCACTCAGGGGCCCACTGAGGACGAGGACGCACGGTGGGCGGCTGCTGCTCTGTATCTCCATCTCTGTGACTCTGACACACACAAGTCTGAGAAGGCACAGCACTAGAAAAGGCAGCCATGTCTCCTAACTCTTCTTCATCAAGGTCCAAGGCCTGCAGAGCCAGGCCTTCCTGTATGCTGCCTCTGTTTTGGCCCAAAAAGTGTAAGAGAGACACTGGACAGGGCTTTAGAGTGGTAGTCTAGGCTCTTACTGATCAGCATCTCATCTGGGAGGTGAGTGAGCAGTATCTGAGAGAGAAAAAGTTAAATAAGGCCACATTCACTGTGAAAATGCGCAGCGTGAGGCCTGTCTGGTGATAAGCACTCAATGTCAGTTGTCTTCATCCATTCACTCATGACTCATGAAACAATTAAAGGCCTCTTTGCTGCACAAAGACGGACAACACACACTGAATCACAACACGTGTGAACGGAAGCGTCACACAAGCCAAGAGTCATTCATACATTCAGCCAACGTTTACTGAGTACCTCCTGAGTCTGCACCACGCCAAGTCCTAGAGATCCAGAGATGAACAAAATTTAAGCCTTGCCCCTAAAGAAGCTCACAGCCTGGTGGGAGATGAGCCCAGAAACATTACAATACAATGTAATGGGTCCTAAAAGAGAGGATGTCTAAGGAGCTATAAAAAAAAAGAGTGTGCTTACTTTCGTCTGGGGGCCAGGAGCTCAGACTAGGGAGGATTTCGTTGGAGGGCAGTATTATCCAAGACTGGAAGCGGAGGAGGAAGTCCTAGGCAGATGAAGGGGTAACTACAGGTGGGGGGGGGGTGGACTTGGAAAATGTGTGAGAACTAACAGATTTGGTGACCAAGTCCTTACGGAGATTAACGGAAGAAGAGCTGAATTCTGGTTTGAGGGACTGGGTAGAGATTTCAAGTCATTCACTGAACCAGGAAATACAAGAAGAGGAAGAGCACATTTGGAGGCAAAAGACTCTTGGTTTTTTGCAGGATGAGCAGGCAGATATGAATCTAGTTATCAGGAGAAAGGCAAGGAACACAGAATTGAGAGCTGTCACGTTAACAGTGGTGGCCAGTGCTATGGACTTGTCTGAGGGCATCCAGGAATGGGGCAGTAGCTAGACTAAGGTTGCCCCTGAGAAAGAGGGATCCCCCAACAAAGATATGAAGGTCTCGGCTGATTTTGCCTGCATTGTTGCATGTCACGGATGAAGGCCAATGTTCCAGAACAGGGCTGGAGCAGTTCTCTGCCGTGGTCCTCTGGTGCTGCAGGCCCCATTTCTCTCTCACACTAAGAACAAAATGCTTCTTAGGCGACTCATAACCTTGGGTTCTCCTCAAGAATAGGGACACATTTCAAAAGGGGGAGGGGCATCAGGATTCTATCAAGGCCCCCTGACCTGTTCACTTCAGCAGCCAGGCTTTCTTTCAGATCCATACGGTCAATCACACAGCCCAGACTTACTCTTAGATGTCTAAGTAAGGTCTGAGGCATGCCATCTTCAATGTGCAAATACATTCTACCCCTGACTGCAAATACCTTTATTTAATTTGGAAAACTGGTGTTCCCACCAAAGCATAAATATTTACGGTTAAGAGTTTGTTACACAGTTTTCAACAGTCAACATTTAGCTAGCACTGAGACCCAATGGAAGTGATGGAAGTGGTGCGAGTGATAATATTAAGTGTGGCTGCCACCAAGTGGCCACATTTGAGAACTGTTGGTTTCCCTTGGTAGAGGGGACTGCAGGATTATTTCAAAAGAGAAAAATCAAGTTTATATACACGGGTATATAGTGTTATGTTCTCTAAGTTAAATGAATGAGACTGACCAGTTTAGGAGAGACAGCCTCAGTACTACCAAATGCTTTTCAAAGAAGGAAATACTCCTGTCCATCTCTGTGGACACAGGTTAGCAGCTGTCAGATGCATACAAATGTTGACTATACCAACACCACAATTTTTTTGAGTATTGATGATATATTAACAGTAGCCCCCCAAAATGGATTGTCCCTCACTTTTTGTTAAGGGCTTTAGCTTAATCACCCCTTTAAACACTTCCCCCCTCACCAGACAGCTTTGAGAAAGGGGCCATCTAACAGAAACAGAATGAGTGCCAGGAGTGGGGATGGTAACGGCAGAGCACACCAAAAGTTTGGTGGGAGGGACTGAAGACTGCTGATCCTCAAGAGAACTAGAAAACTGGCTGAGTCTGAAGGCCTCCCTGTGGGTTTCCTGACCACCATAAATTGATGGTTGCATTTGTCACTTGCCATTGAGCTTCAGTCTTCCCCTCTGTAATGGGGACCCTGACCCTGTCTACCCAGGAAGGCGGGCAGAGACCACCATCCTGCTTGCGCCGGGTTGTGACTCACCTTCAAGCTTCTTCTTTTGACCGACTGGAGCACGCGGCGGTTGGGAGGGTGCTTCTTGTGGATTCGGTTCAGGAAGTCCACTTTGACGACGTGCTGTGAAATGGTGTCCTGGAAACGGTCAAACACCTGGCACCGATTGCTCAGCGTCATGTTCTTCTGGTTCAGCTGGGGACAGAGGAGACACATTCCTGCTATGGAGCTCAGATGCATCACCCTCCCAATTATCTCTATGTTAAAAAAAAAAAAGGCTCCCTCGGCCCATTGGGCTCATTTTGTCAGGAGCTGGTATGTCAACACTCCCGTCAGAGGGCCGGGGGATGTGGCCAGTCTAGTTCCCACTCCCTAGAGAGGCCCGAAGGGGACAAGACACAGGGAGTCAGCCCGGAGGGCCCTTCCAAACTCAGCCTCTGACAGTCCTCTTCCCAGTGCACAGGTTTCAGAGCAGGTGCAGGCCTTGGCCCTAGAGCGCTCCAGACTCCTTTCCTAGCAAGGGCCTCTCTCCCACCAGAAGCAGAACTGTTTCCCGTGTGGGAGCTTGGCTGACAGGTGAGACCAACACCAGAATCCTGCCCTATTCCTCCTCCATGGCACCAGGAAGCATTCGTGAACCCACCTGGGTACCAGAGCCTTGTTCTACAGCAGGCAGAAAGCCTTGGCCTGCTCTCAAGAGGCCAAAGGGAAGGAAGAAAAAAAGTGTGTGCAGCAGCCTCCAGGAGGCATGGAGCAACTATGCCTCTTTTCCTTTTCTACGTCTGGTCCCCCATACTTTAATTAAAAGAAAAGATCTATGTGGCCGCTTCCTAATTAGTAAATTAGGAAAACCCCTATGCGGCTAATAAATAATCACCCAGTTAATAACTCCTCGTCTGCTGAAAGGCTGTTCTTACAGATTCACATTTGGGTAGACTGCTCATGGCTGTTTCTCTTCTGGTTCAGCAGGAGGCAAAACGAGACACTCACACTGAGCCTTGGAGAGAGGCTTCCTCCTGCATAACCCTTCTGAGGTGCATGAGTGAAGTGAAGAGGGCCAAGTACGTGCTTTCTCCCATTTGAGCAAGTCTATAACTGAAGTTCCTCTCCGGGCAGAGCAGAGAGCACCAGGCAAGCAGAAGGCCAGCAGTCATTCCATGGTTATCACACTTTGATATGGTGATGCCTTATGCAATTACCCTTTGAACCTGGAGAGGCTGCTCTTAAGAGGGAGCTGCTCCGCCTGAGGCCCTCTCTCATTCAACCTTCCGAGGGACAGTGCTGATTAGGAGATGTCCTATCCCTCTGGTGGAGATAGGAAATTACAGTTCTAGTCTGGCCTCGGGAAGCAGTCTGGAAAATGTAACCAAATCTCCTGGGAGATAAGATAATAGCACCTCATACCATTCATTCATTTTGACAGTTTTGACAAAGGAAGAGAAGGGCAAGGTCCTCCACGTGTGGTGTGCAGGACACGTTAGGTGCTCAATAAATGACTGTCTGGAATGTTAGTTATCTGGGTCAATTCTTCAATTCTCCAAAGTTACTGGGCAGTTACCTGCCAGTGCTATGAGAATAAATATTTTAGAACTTTCTTAGTTTGTTCCTTCTAAAAACAAGAGGGATTCACTCTAAAAATAATCAGGGATTGTTGCTGTTTCACGTTGTTGTACAGCAGAAACCATCACAACATTGTAAAGCAATTATCTTACAATTAAAAATAAGAAAAAGAAAATACGGAAGAGCATTGATTTGCGTTAAGGCTGGATCCAATATAGTATGCTCCCTTTTGAGGGCTGTAACACCAATTGCTTAACTCATTACAGAGGAAATTATTCATGAACCATCAAGTGCAAGTGGCCTAAGTCTGCCCGTGCAGCTGAAACAAGGCAGTGTGGGAAAAGGCCAAACGCATGGCCGAGGCAGGCAGGTCACAGTAATGGGAAGTGAGTAGGATGGTCTGCAGGAACCAGCATCTGAGGGACTGGAGTGAACTCTGGCACAAGGCTGACAGTACTATGCTCCCCACTGACTGGGTCCACGCCCTGGCTGTGCCCACCCAGGACACTGCCGTGCTTACCACCACATGTTCGATGTGATTCGGACACATCCACCTGCCCAGGGGCATGGCAGTGAGCGGGGGCTCGAGGCAGTCCATGTGGAACAGGAGGGGGCAATAGTCACACTGGATGAGAGGGGCCACACGACAACTCCTGCAAGAGAGAGGGAGGCCATTGATTTGGCAAAGTGAGAGAATTCATGTGGACTCTGCCCTGTGGGACGGCCTCCCTTCCTTAATCCTAGCCGTGTTCTTCCACACTCTCTCCCCAGTAATTCAGTTCCATTCACCATCAGGAAGATGGATGAAGCTGGGGGCCACCACTGGGCTTCTCATCACTCTTCTAAGAGGAATGCAGAGAAGTGAATGCTCATTTAGAGTAGAGCTAAAGTGGCTGTCGGAGCAGGAATGATCAACGCTCGGTACCTACTGGGGAAGACCGCCAACCCTGCTCTGATCTTTCTACTCCTTAACAGAAAGCAATTACCTCAGTTAAAAAAAAAAAATCACTAGCAACTTTTCCAGAGTCCCACACTACAAGAGGAAAAGATTTCTCTTCCACATTAGCCCTCAGTAACACTGACAACCAGAGAGCACTGTGCTGGGAAGATGCTTCTGTTATGTGCTCACGTAAGTGCGATTCCAGGGAGGGCGCGTAAGCAAACACCAGTTATGAGTTGTACCTACGATACCCCAGGAGTCCTGAAGTCACACTGGAGCCACAGTGTGGGTCTGGCTCCTGTCTTGTTCCTTATAGCTTTTGCTGTGGAACATTTCTCATTGAGAGCTATTTTCTCTTGCTATCCTGCCTTTCTCACAGATCCAAGCCAGCAAGTCCAGCTTCAGTAACTGAGGCAGCTGGTTCCTGTCACTGCGGAGATCTTATTTGAAGGAAACCAGTGTCCCAGGGAAGCTACAACTGGGGCAGCCTAGAGGCTTTTGGAAGTCATCCAGTCTGATGCATGCCAGCTAGGGTGGATACTTGTACTACTTTTAAATTCATCTTTAGCGCTTCAAAAATTATTAGCCTTTCTCAGGGATGTGTGTCTCGGCTGGCCAGAGTTCTTCCTGCCAGCTAGTCTAAATATCTCATGCTTCATTTTAAGTCCAACTTCTCTCGCTTAAGCCTCTATCAACATGGTTTATGGTATTCTGCACCGTGACTGTTCGAGGATTTCTTTTTTAGAACACTCAAGGCTCTGATCAGTCAGTCACTCAGTCTCTTTGTACTCACACCATCAGATTACAGGTTACCTCTACTTAACATGGACTTCCCTGGTGGCTCAGACGGTAAAGTGTCTGTCTACAATGCGGGAGACCTGGGTTCGGTCCCTGGGTCGGGAAGATTCCCTGGAGAAGGAAACGGCAACCCACTCCAGTATTCTTGCCTAGAAATTCCCATGGACGGAGGAGGCTACTGTCAATGCGGTCGCAAAGAGTCGGGCACGACTGAGCGACTTCCCTTCCCTATTTAACATACATGGTTTGGAAGAGGTGATAAAAGAGAGAAAAAACATTTGCTGAATGAGGAAGAGCCCTTTGCTAGGGAAGAAAAATACCTGTTACACGTGAAGCAGACTTTGACTGGCAAGGGAACAAGACCATTGTGATCTAACTCGTGCTGTGTTTTCTTAACGTTTTTCCCCGTGGTTTCCTCCTTTCTTCTCCTTTTGCTGGAACCTGGAAGAGAAATTGGTGGTGCTAAACGTTCTCTGGAGGCAGACTTCCTAGTCTGGGGTATGGAAACAAGAGTGAGTCAGAGGAACGGATCTTAGTAAAACCATGTGCCATGGCCTGGACACAGATCTCTTTCTGAGGGCCCTCCCCATCCCAGGCTGGTTTCCAGTGAGAAACAGAATGAAAAAGCAGGAGAAGGGAGACGTAAGTCAGAACCATGATCACGAGTTCCTTGTTCTGTGATAGAAATACATCCTCAGTGTTTTGCAAACATCAAGTGGTCAGCAGCCTAGGTTAGATACTGGCAAGTTAAGAAACACAAAGACCCAGGTCAAATGGTCAACAAATTCTACAGAGGTGCCTGAGAAAAAGACTGTAATTTTACTGCATTTTAACAGAAAGCAGAAAAGCTACGATGCTGTATGCATCCTACTGACCAGCAGGTTTCCTATGCCTGCCGATTTCACTTTCTACAGGAAGAAGAAAATAAGATCTAGATGTTTTTTGGTATCAAGGAGAAGCCGTGACTTAATTAAAAAAATTTTTTTTAAAAAAGGGAATGGAGGACAATTTATAATATCCATCAATACTACAAGTGCATAGTTGCATAGTTTTGACCCAGCAATTCTAATATTAGTAATTTATCCTCCATACACTCACATGTATACAGTGATATATTTACAAAATTATTTGTTGAAACACCATCTGTTGTTCCTAACAAAAGATTAGGAACAACCAGGATGTCCATTAATAGGAAATTAGTTTATATAATGTGTTACTATGCAACCATTAAGAAAACTGAGGATAATGTCGACATTAATATCGAAAGATGTTAAGTAAGCATGCTATTTAAGGGGAAAATGATAAACATATCTGTATTGGCTTCTAAGAGATACATAAGAACCAAACAGTGGTTATCTGTGAGGGGAAGGAAGGTGGAAATCGGGCAACGGCGGACAGGGACAGGTGGGAGATGTTTTATTGAAATTCTTCTTACATTTTTTGATTTCTGAACTATGTGTATATATTCCACATCCCGTGCCCCCCTCCCCCGCCCCGTTTTTAAAGTGATATTGGAAAGGGTGGAAATTAGAAAATTGAGTAAGCATGTAAGCTTTCAAAGATCTTTCCACAAACCAAAACAGGAACTTGAGACAGTGGCTACACAGACAGTGACCCCAGGCTACACAGCCCTCTGGGTGGACGACGTCCTTTGTGGAAGCCGGGGTAGGGGGGAGGATATGACGGTCTGGCTAACCTGGTAGTGCAGTGGTACAAGTCAGTTCATTGGGCAACTGGAATTGGGTGGGGTTCCGCTCCATGGCGGCAGCGATCAGCAGCTCAAAGGGCCGCCTCAGCTGGGGCTGCACGTAGTCCGGCTCTGTGGCCACTGGCTCCTCGTCCACATCGATGATGTCCTCGTCGACGTCATTCTGCTCAGAGGTGGGGGTCTCCGTGCTGGCGTTGGATGTGGGTGTGCCAGGTCGGCTGGCTCTCCTTTCCAGGATCCGGGCGTGGGCAATGGCCTTGAGTTCAGTTTTGCTAGCTGATCTGTCCAACAAGTCAGTGTCACTGCTGGGGGATGTAGTCCGTTTGCCAGATTTGTCCACCAGTCCATTGACATGGCCCAGTTCTTTCTTCTGCTCTCGTTTCTGTGCAAGTGAACAGGCGGGCCCATCACATAGAGTATCACAAAACAGAAAGCGATGGATGCTATGAGTCCTGCTAGACCACTCACCAAAACCATGAAGGTCTCTAATATTACAGACTCACCCACCTGTGGACTTGGAACACTGGTCTGTGAAAGTTGACCAAACTATGGCTGAACTAAACTATAGCTGGCAAAACCAGTGGGGCAGGGGATCAGAAAGTACCAAAGTCAGAAACAAACCACACATCCTATGATACACAGTGTCTCCACACACAAGGTGGGGGTAAAGGGATTAAAGTTAAAGCAGTGAGAAGAAACTTAGACTAAGTGGGGACAGTGAGGACAACTCAGGGAATCAAGGACTGAGAACGCTGCCGTTTGCCTTGGGAGTGTCCTGAAGGGTTAAGAACTTTGCTCAAAATAAAGAAAGGTCTGTAAAAGCAAAGGTAAAAAGTAAAACGGGCAAGCCGAGCTCCCTATCCAGGGATGGTGGGTACTGGCTTGCAAGGCAACCACACTACAAGGTGGAAGGATGGTGTGTGGAGCAGAGTGACCCAGCAATCACGGTGTCCAAGAATGGTGGCTTTCATGTCTCCAGTTTAACTAGAACCCTGAAAGTGACACTTTTTGAATGGAAAGGTGGGGACAGGGAAAAGACTAAGTGCACAGAGTAGGACTGAATGACTGACAAATACATTTTCCTCCAAGGGTGCAAGCAGAATAAAGGTTTAGCACTGGGGTCCAGTAAGGAGACCTGGGATCTTGTCCCAGTTCTGCCACTGATTCCCTATGACCTTAGGTGATTCCGGCTGGAGGGCAGGAATTCCTCTCTGTGTGAAGTGAGACTAGTAAAACCTTTCTCCTCCTCCTCTCAGGGATTTGGTTGTGACAAAGAGCACGGGATACATGAAAGGGATGACTCTGAGATGGGGGTAAGATCTAGCTTCCACTAGGAGTGAGACCTGAACATGAGAGGTTGGTGAGGTCCACAGGAGGCCATTTCAACCCCCTTCACTGTAACTAAGGGAGGCCAGAGGGCTGGAGAGGTGGTGGTGGTGCAAAAGGCAGATATGGCATGGGAAGACACAGAGGTCCACTTGAGAGCAGGGAGTGGCATTTTGGGAAAAGCACACTATGCAGAAAAAGGCATATTATAGTATAATCCCCAGAAAGTAGTTCTGTTTAAATTGTTGAGGAAGTAATAGAGCCTGGAGTCAGAAAGTTATGGGTTCAAAACTTGGTTCGGTCAATTCTTTTGAGTACTTGGGTAAGTTCTATAATTGTGAACCTCAAGTTTCTTCCTTTTAAAAATGGAGATAATAGCACCAGCACTCATAGGAGGCTGTATGGATTACATGAAACACATGTAGAACAGCCAGCCATGATGAGCATCAAAACAATGTTAGCTCCTCTTCTTCACCTCCTTTTCCTGGCTTCGTCTCTTCTGCCACAGTAGTTCCCAGCCCTGTTCAGTTCAGTTTTTTTGAGTGGCAAGTTTCTGAAAGGCCTCTTGGCTGACAGATGCTTCTAACTAACACCACTCTAATCTAGCTGGGGACACACAGGTAGAGATTGGGAGGAGGACAAGCTGAAGGACACTTGCTTTGTGGACATCAAGAGAAATCAAACCACTGCTCTGGTAGGGTGGTTGACTTGGCCTTGGCTTACTTTTTAATAGGAACTCTATGCACACATTGAAAAAGTGTCCGCCTAATTGTTAACCTTCTTAAAGGCTGAAAACTGTTACACACATAAACCACAATCTCTGAATCATCTCATCCTGTTTCTGCAACAAAGGAAGTCATCATTCATTGTGACATCATGTTGAGGGGCCAGGAAAAGAGGTGATGTCACAACAAAGGACAGTTGCTTGGTGTGTGATTAGTGTGGGGGTAGGGCAGGGAATGGTTTACAATTCACACACAAATTCTAATCCACAGCCTGTAATTTGAGGATTGGGTCTCGCTATCTGGTGGAAGCACACTTACTTCCTTTTTTGATAAGGGAGCATTTAGCTTTTGAACCCCACCAAAGTTCTCAACATAGAAAATTACGTTCTCAAAGCCAGTACTAAATTATCAAAGCTGAGGGAAGGGGAGCTGAAGAGAGGTTAGACAACCTGGGGTCCAAGTGGGTCAAAGTGCTCTCCACCCCCCACACCTGACCAAGCCTCTGGAGACCAGTGACTTATTTGCCTCGAGGTGAGGGGAATCCTTTTTCTATCAAGCTGCAGGGGCAGCCTTCTTCTTCAGCCTCTTTCGCCATGGAAACAGCTGCCAGTATGTTCAGGCCAGTTATCAGGAAGTCTACAAGGAGATCAGACTACTCCTGTCACTAGTGAATGAACATGTCTCAGTAAATTAACACACCTCTTCAGCCCATTTCAGCAGCCCATGTTTGAATTTTAGGCCCTACTGGATTCTAAACAGTCAACACGGAGCGTGTGAGGGTGATTCAGGGCTGGAAGAGATAAGAAGGAGGGACGAAAAAGCCTTCAGGGCCAGGCCGTCTTTGCTCTCCATTATCAGTGGTCTAGATCTGGCATTTGGAGCAAAGCCTTCAGAAAGCAGCATTCTTACCTTTCGTCGAACAGTGCACCGGTGACACATCCACTCCCCAGGAGGCAACATCTCTTCACTCAGTGGAGGGTTGCTACGAGAAAAAGACAAGGGCAAGACTAAGTAACTAATGCACCAATGCAGCAGGGACAAGCCTAATTAGGTCTGATGCAAAGCCGCATGTTGCTCAACTTGTATTCTGTAGTTATACATCTCTTATCCTTCAAAATGCTTACTTGGCCCCATTTACAGTAACCTAAGGAGTAAGCTTGGTAGCTCAGATAGTAAAGCGTCTGCCTACAATACAGGAGACCCGGGTTCGATCCTTGGGTAAGGAAGATCCCCTGGAGAAGGAAATGGCAACCCACACCAGTACTGTTGCTTGGAAAATCCCATGGACGGAGGAGCTTGGTAGGCTACAGTCCACTGGGTCGCAAAGAATCGGACATGACTGAGCGACTTCACTTTCACTTTCAAGGAGTAAGTATACCTTCCCACATCTTAGAAAGAGATGCCAAACCCAGAGCTATGAACACTGGACTGACAGGGAAAGATACAATGAACTGGTTTGGAGAATTGAGGAGTCATTCCCAAACTCTGCACCATGCTAATAAAATCACAGATAGGTCCTCCACAGCCATTTCAAAGTTGGCCAGTGAAGTCCATGATCTTCCACCTGCTGTTCAAAGCCCTCTGTCACAGGGTCCCCTTCCATCTTCCCATGCCCCTTTTGGGAACTTTTCCCCCTGGTTAAACTGTAGACTTGCTATTTCTTCCTCTAAAACTCTTCCCTCTGAAAGCTATGCCTATCAAAACCCTATTCATCCTGTAGGGCCTGCCTCAATCAGCCTATAGTAGCTAAAGATGGCTACAAATTCTCTGCTACCCTTCCACCCAGTAGTCCATTTCCTTCCTCTAGAACTGCCTTGTCTATTTCTGACCACACCTCGCAGCTTGCAGGATCCCAGTTCCCCAACTAGGGCAGGGATTGAACCCATGCCCTCAACAGTAAGAGTGTGGAATCCTAACCACTGGATCACTGAGGCATTCCCTCTTGTGACTTGTTCTAACCAACAGAATGCAGCAGAGGTGACAATGTAGGAACTTCCATGGCTGGGTCTGAAGAGCCCTGTAGATTCCATTTTTACACACTTGGAATGTTCCATCTCAGAGCCCTGCTCTCATGCTGAGAGGTCACACAGAAGAGACTTCAGGCGCTCCAGTCAGCGCCAAGTCAACAGCCAGCATCGACTATTGCTACAAGACTGAGTCATCCTGGATCATGCCAGCTCAGCTAAGCCTCCAAATAACCACAGTCCCAGATAACAACTGAACAGAAAAACCATCCAGCTGAGCCTAGTCAACATGCAGGTTTGTGAGAGATAATAACTAGGGTCTGTTTTAAGTCACTGAGTTTTGGGGTAGTTTGTTACCAGTGATAGGTGACTGAGCCCACAATTCCTCCACGCACTCTTCTCAGACCACTAAGACATCCTTCTTATGCCTTCCCTTGTGTGACAATTCTCTTACTTCTTTTATCAGAGGAATCAAGACAAGGGCTGGATCTCCTTCCCTCTTTGTATCTTTACAATAGAGAGGCTGCATAAACAGTAGTCACTCAGTAAGTCAATACTGAATCAAAATTACAGCTGTGGAGGGCTGGTCTTATTGAGTCTCCAGATCACTGATTTCCATTAAGGTTTGTAAGAATCATATGAAACTTTATTGAATTCTTAGGAGGGTCACATTTATAATGTCTCTACAGCAGGGGTTCTCAAAGTGTGGTCTCCAGACAAGCAGCATCAGCATCATCTGGGAACTTACCAGAAATAAAAATTCTGTCCAAAAAGATACATACTCCCCAATGTTCACAGCAGTGCTATCTACCATAACCAAGATATAGAGGCAATCTAAACAGTCATCGACAGATGAACGTGTTAAGATATGGTATACATATACAATGGAATATTACTCAGCCATAAAAAAGAATGAAACACCACTTGCAGCTGAGTGAAGGAAGTCCTAGAAAGACAAATCATCATTTATCACTTATATGTGGAATCTAAAAAAATGATACAAATAACTTACTTGACTTGCAGACATAGAAAGCAAATTTATGGTTACCAAAGGGGATATGACAAACCTAGATAGCATATTAAAAAGCAGAGACATTACTTCACCAACAAAGGTCCGTCTAGTCAAGGCTATGGTTTTTCCAGTGGTCATGTATGGATGTGAGAGTTGGACTGTGAAGAAAGCTGAGTGCCAAAGAATTGATGCTTTTGAACTGTGGTGTTGGAGAAGACTCTTGAGAGTCCCTTGCACTGCAAGGAGATCCAACCAGTCCATCCTAAAGGAGATCAGTCCTGGCTGTTCATTGGAAGGTCTGATGTTGAAGCTGAAACTCCAATACTTTGGCCACCTCATGCAAAGAGTTGACTCACTGGAAAAGACCCTGATGCTGGGAGGGATTGGGAGCATGAGGAGAAGGGGACGACAGAGGATGAGATGGTTGGATGGCATCACCGACTTGATGGGCATGAGTTTGAGTAAACTCCGGGAGTTGGTGATGGACAGGGAGGCCTGGCGTGTTGAGATTCATGGGGTTGCAAAAAGTCAGACACGACTGAGTGACTGAACTTAACTGAACTGAACTGAAAGGGTATAGCAGTGGTGGAGGGTAGGGTGGGGGGAAGATAAATTAGGATTTTGTGATTAACACACATACACTGCTAAATATAAAGTAGGTAAACAACAAGGACCTACTGTATAGCGAAGGGAACTATATTCAGTATCTTGTAATAACCTATAATGAAAAAGAATGTGTGTATGTATATATAACTGAATCATACACTTGAAACACAACATTGCAAATTAACTATAATTCAATTAAAAAATTAAAAAGAAATGCAAATTCTGAGCCCTCACTCCAGGCCTACTGAAGTAGAAATTCTGAGACAGCCTCAGTAACGTGTGTTTAACAAGCTCTCCAGGTGATTCTGCTCAACATCCAAGGTTTGAAAGCCACTGCTATACAGAATAAGGTTACATTTATGCTTAAGAAATTCCTACATTTGGTTCCTGGGATTCACCAACTTGGAATGATGTGAAGGAAATTTTTTTTCATAATATATGAAAAATGCTAAAAACAAATTATTATATATATTTTATATATATATATAGGCTATGAATATATAAGGACTCTTCCTTAAGTCCTAGGCCTTAATGCTAGGCTGCTTTACCCTTTCTACCTAAATAGCATTTAGCCTGACAATTTTTCCTAGCTCCTGCTTTGTCAACATATCCCTGGAGCCCTAAGCGTACATGTCAGGATGTCCACCAAGCCCTCACAGCTCATTGCTTCCTATTTGGTTTCCCTGGTGGAATCTCAGGAGGATCCTTACCAGGAGGCACAGTGGCCTACTGGGACAGGTCTTCAAGCCCTAGATAACCACACGTGAATGTCACCTGTAAAGTCTTCCCTAGCTCTTTCCAATGTATTTCCTCACAGGCCATATCCAAACTAATGAAATGCATGTGTGTAATTTGCAAAGGCCTACAGACTCTGCTATGCTTCAGCAGCTGTCATATTAAAATTAACCCTGAAAGGGCTGTCATTTCTGATTCTGTTTTTCATCATTTCTTTTCATCTGCCTACTGGCTTTGTGTTTTGTATCAAGATAACCTACACTAAACACGTAAAGCAGGGAAGGGTGAGGCAAGGTGGCAGTGGCTTAGATCTTTTTACCAAGATGTGAATGCCCCCCTGGCTGCTCTTCCTGCCTTCCTCAATCTATGTCTAACCCTGCTGGCAAAATAATTCTGCCACAATCTGATCAAGTCAGTCTCCTAATGAAAAGCCCTTCCATATTGCCCTCACCCCAAAAGGATAAAGGTCAAGCTCCTCAGTACTGCAGGCCAGAAATCTGCCCCTTCCCCAGCTCCATTAGTCTGGTGGCTCCCGACACAGTCCATGCTGTTTCTCAACCCTGTGTCTCTCTGCTCATGCCAGAGCTGCTACCCACAACCACAAAAGCTAAGCCTCCCTCCAATCCTTCATCTGGTGAACTCCTTCTTTTCTGGAGCCCAAGTTAGGCGTCATCTCCAGGAAGTCTCCTCTGACAGCCCGCGATCCTCTATGGCACTTCTGGGCCACACTATATACTGAACTCTCAAGGAACCTGAATCCTGCTCTCTGCCAGTCTCTGCATAATGTTTGGCACACAGCAGGTACACAATAAAGCTTTAAAGAACTGGGGAACACAAAATGAATGGGTTTCTAAGAGTGAATGTAACTGCCCCCTGGCCAAAGTCATGAGATGAGGCAATGTGGTTGGGTACTTATTTTGGTGGTTAAATCACACATGAAATTACTTATATTTTCTGTCACAAAACAATAAGATATCAGAATCAAAGTCCATACCTGCAAGCCTAAACTTCCTACAGCAACACCCTACTTAAATCCTCTTTACGCAATTTGATTTATCTTTCTTAACACAGGGGTAAAATGCTTAAAATCTGTATTAAGCAGCTCTCAAAAGTAGCTCCTGGTTGGCTTCTAAAGGATCACTTTTAGAGATACCATGCTTAAGAACATTTCTCAGAATCCTAGATTATGACCATGGGCTCATCTTGTCTACCCTGAAGTGTGGGATGAGGGCTGCGAGTTTAGGGAGTCATGAAGGAAAGTCAGAGTGTTGTCTCCAGGATGAACACAGACATTTTAAAAAGTGAGGCCTTGCTGCTTTCTTAGAGACAGAACATGCATCTTGAAATAAATTTGAAAATATGGTATCTTGAGAGATGGCAGTAATATCAGAGATGGGATGAATAGGGAAGGAAGGTCTATGTTTCTTGAAAATGACCATCGCAGTCATGGCTGGAAAACAGGAATCACCCACCAGGCTTTCTCATGATGATGGTTCTTTCTTCTTTGCTTTGAGCAATTCCTTTCAAGCTATGTGGAAGGCAGCTTTTATAAAAAGCTTTTATTTTTTTGGCCGTACCATATGGCACGTAGGATCTTAGCTCCCTGACTGGGGATTGAATCTACGCCCTCTGCACTGGAAATGTAGAGTCTTAACCACTGGACAGCCAGGGAAGTCCTTAGAAGGCAGTTTTTCAACTTAGACATCTAGATAAAGATTCACGAAATGGCTCAAGGAAAGACAGGCTGCCATTGGGGTAGGGCAATGAGCTCAGAAACTTTTCTGAAGATGCTGTTCTGCAAGCAGACTAATTTTGTTCTGTATCAGAAACAGCGCCGACAGAGAAAGGATTCCAGGGAGAAAGGAGATTCTTTTTTTTTTCCTTTTCATTTATTTTTATTAGTTGGAGGCTAATTACTTTACAATATTGTAGTGGTTTTTGCCATACATTGACAGAAACCAGCCACGGATTTACATGTGTTCCCCATCCCGATCCCCCTTCCCAAGAACGAAGATTCTACAGCCTTGGGATTGCTCACACACACATCCTAAGGACTCCCCTGCCTCATCCACTCATCTTAAAGCTCCTTCCCTCATTAGAACAGTATTCTCACAAGTTAAACATGCAACTTCGAAACAATCATATGCATGCCAAAGTCTTTAAATCATAATATGCCTGTCAAGAAGAACACAGTTCCATCCCAGCTCCCTCTCAACCCTATATATCAATGAAGACAGGGCGCTGAAGGCCATCCTCTACAGAAGGAAATGATTAAAAGTTAAAGTCAGGTAACACTGAAATTATCAGAGTTTCTGCTGCTCAGTAGTAAAAACCATAAAAACACTACTGTGAGCCGGTGCCACTTGTAAAGACATCGATGTGCTTCCTAATCACTAAGCTTAGAAACAGCAGAGTGATAATCTCATTTTACATCTAGTGTATTACGGTTCACAAAGTGTTTTCACAGATGCTCTTATTTGATCTTCACCATCAAACTGTGAAAATTCTTACTCCCATCATGCAGGTATCTCCAAACTCATTTATCTAAAGCTATGGAGTCAGAAAGCAGCAGAATGAGAACCAAAATCAGCTTCCTGGTTCTTCCAAATCTTGAGCCCAATCTGTTTTTAAAGAACCTTTGGGAGTTATCTTATTTCTGGGGAACACAATGGAATATCCATCAGAGTAACTTACTCAACCACAAGGTCAAGCATTTCCCTTTCCATTAGTCTTCCTTTATTGAGTTCCCACTGCTTCCTAACCAGTGCCACACTGGAGGTACCACGCTGGAGGAAGGACATTAAGCAAACCAGTTATGATCTACCCCGTCAAGAAACTCAGCCTCTAGGGAGAGAAGACCAGTCATTCATCCACTCAAGTATTTACTGGACACCATGTTATGCTTCCCAGGCAGTGCAGTGATAAAGAATCCACCTGCCAAT